TATTTCATTATATTTCCTTCCGAGGTTAAAGGCTTAATTTAGATTGGAAATTTAGCAAATAACAATTTTGAATTTCTATTGCCAACCAAAATAAAGCTTAAAATGTCATCTTGTTATGACACAATGTATAATTTCTTTATCAGAAAACCTAATTTGAATAGAAATTTTAGGATGTGACATCTTTTCAACATTCTATCTCACTTTCCTTTGTTTCTAGCAGTATCCGTGGTGTTACAGTTTTTTCTTTTTTTTTCCTTTTTTTGAAATAAACATCTCTTTCTTTTCTAATATAAATATATTTTGTCAGTATAAAATTTACAAATTTTAAAACTTTTATGACTGGAAAAAATGTAAAAGTAACATTATATCTTACCAAACAAAAATTACCTTTAATCAATTTAATCGCTAAATTTACTTATTAATTTATTTTTGCATTAAAGAAAGGATTATCTGTAAATCAAGGAAAACATTTGTAGGAAAATTAAAAGATCTGGCAAATTTAAATTTGGATATCATAATAATGATATACATTAACAATCACCAAAAATAAATACACTTCGCCATTATGACAATCAAGATGTTGTATCCCGGTAAACTACGATATTATTACGATCATTTTTGTTTGAAAGGAAAAGAAGAAAATGATTTGGGCGGTATACCATAGAACTTCGCCAATTTATTCCACTAAGTTTTCATTTCACAAAAAAATTAATTGTTAAAGTAAAAACTTTATAATTTTTTTATTAATTACTCAATGATTAACACATCCATACCATAATAAATATGCAATGCCAAAAATTTTGCATGAATTATTGCAGTATCCAATTAAATTGCTGCAGTAATGCTAAAAATAACAATTGTTATCCATTCACAATTGATGAAATTGTTATCGAATGGTGATAAATGTGATGATATACGGATTAGAAATTTGATCCCTTTTATAACGAGTAATGAATTTTCAAAGTGTATTTTCTAAATAGCAAATTAAGAAGACAAAAATTTGCTATTTTAAACTACTTGTAAAGTATGGTTCTTATCTGAAATATCTGCTCAATATGAATGTCTCAGATCACATTAATCCAAAAATTTTATTGAGAAGAAAATATTCATCCAAAGAGCATCCAAATATTGCACAGAGAAATTCACAAATCAAATTTCACCATCAACAATATCATCAACAAATAGCTAATTATGAGATTATCAGTTGCTTAGGATTTGGTTAGTTGTTGAATAAGTATAATAATGATAATTCGTATAACAATTTCTCTAAACTTGTTTATGATGGATAGCCATTAATGCATTACATCCAGAGATGCAAACAAAAATTATTAATTTGAAAAAAGTTAAAAAGCAAATGGTTGATATTTAACTTCTTTTTAAAAATTTTGTCTACTTTGGTAATGAAAGTGTTGAGACTCTCAATACATCGAGAATTGAAATGAATTCTATCCCAAATTTGTCTCCCTCCTTTTCTACTACTTTCATTTGCTACCCATTAAATTTATATATATGAAATCACGAATCACAATATCATGAAAACCGACCATGATTTCGTTAGTGTTAAATTGTACAGGAAGAACAAAAAGTGCACAATTACCATTTGACGACAAATTTGATTCTTTGTAAAAAAAGAAATGATAAATTTGTTTTTTGATTGAAAAAATTTCAACACTTATCGTTCACGATCATTCAGTATTGAATAATTTTGCAGTTCAGTGATAGGAATGCATCCTATCAACAAATTAGGCCTTTGTCTTCATTTGCAAAAATTTTGAAAGTATGAAGTGTCGAAAAATTAAAATTATTTCCGCAAAAAAAAGGAAAAAAAATTTCTTCAATAAGGATAATTACTAATGTTTGAGACGAATTATTTCCAAACTTGAAATTTCGATTTCAATCCGACAATTTCTTGAATACAAAAACTTCGGTTTTTTTTAAAATAGTTCATTATCCATAAAACAGCCAATGATTGATGCACCTAATTTGAGCACCTATTTTGTTTAAATGTAAAATGGAAGAGTAAGTACGTTTATCAAATAGTTAGATAAATTGAACTGAACTGAACTGAAATAAACTGTTACGTGTTCTTCACGTTTTATGATTTCAAGAATTCAACCACAGTATCTATCCTTCGTGCTTCTTATCGATGAAACATTTATTCTAACTAGCATGAAAGCAAGATGAATGAAATATCTCCAGATCATATACAGTTTTACTCATTTTACTTTTTGGAGCACTTAAAGATAAGCAGGAATTACAATTAAAATCCTAATGCGGTAATACTTTATGCAGTAATATAAATCTCATAATTTCCTGTAACTTCCAAATGATTTCATAATTAATGAGAGGTTATTTTAGCAGATAACATTGGTTAGGATTATAATTTTCTTCAGTATTATTTTTTGCTGCATTTAGTATTACGTGGAACACACAGTATCCTTTACGTTGGATGTGTTAGAATCATTGATCTTTGATCTGATCTCAAAAGGTCGCCGTTCATTTGTTTTAATCGATTTGTATTTTAAGGGTTTTTATCATGAGAAACTTATTTTATCAGTATCATCATTCATGTCATTGCATAGGCCATTTACTTGAAGGTGATAATGGAACAAGAAACGGAATTTTGCTGCAGAAAATTTTCCCAAATGAAAGTCTAGTTTTGTCGTAATAGGATAAGGATCGATTGAATAGGATCAAAATACAAAAGTAAAGGAAGAATGTAGTAATATCCACCAATTCTTTCAATGCTCAATCTCTTAGGATATACTAATTGATTCGTCTCATATACTGGTATAGATCAAACATTCATTCAAAGCATCCTTCACAGATCGTTAAATTATGCAGTGATTGAAGCAGTCAAAATTTCACATTCTCTGATCAACATTCGTTGTCATTGTGACTAGGCTTTGTGAACGAAAATATGTGGAGGATTCTACACCCAAGCGTGTTGATGGCTAAGACGACCAATGCGGAATAAACAAGTTCGGGTGCAAAAGGCACAGTGGAAGGTCTTCTTAGACGGTATTGATGAAGTACAGTTTTTTCTGCGTTGTTATTTGTCCTCTAAGCTAATTCTGCGTGTGTTCTCGAAGGAAGCAGCAACATTATGAGTGATGTGTCTCCATGTCCCCCGATTCGAGGCCAGAGTCGGCCATTAATGGTAGCTAATATGGCCAAAATTAAGGTATTGTTTCAGGGCCTCCTTGTATCTCCTCTTTGGGGCTCTTC